CAGGGAATCATTTCTCCTCACCTCCAACTTCAGGGACCCTTACTATCTTGTTTTCACAGTCATTAAACAGAAGATGTGTGCCCTGAATTTGTTTTCTTTGTTTTTAATGGTGCAAAAAGTCCGAACAAACGTTGCTTTCTCTACTGAGGACGACATGGCAGTTTACTCAGTGAATTTAACCACAGGGAACTTACAATACAGAAAAAAGAAAACAGAAATAGGAATCTAATGCATCTTGATTAAAAACTAGGTCTCTCTGTAAATGTGTCTTGTTTGTTTGTTTTCTCAAATTTTGTGAACACATTGCTGTGGGATCTTCAGGTTGTGTTTTACAGCTATATGTACCGAGAGCAACACACTGAGTTTAAAGGATATAACTTGGAGATGATTAGTGGTAAAATAAATATTCAGGTTCTTTACCTAAATAAAGCCACACTAAAAATAATCTACTACAAGTAAAAGTCCAGCACTGAAAATGTTACTTGCTTATCTTTTTGCATTGCCTGCTAATTATTTTCTAAATGAACTCAATTGATCAGTTTGAATAAGTTCTGAGAATAGTGAGAAATGAACATCAATTACACAGAACCCATATTAAAACTATTAAAAGGAAAAGCAGCAGATCTTCACATTTGAGAAGCTGGAACCATGAAATGCATTTTGGCATGAAAATACTCTAACTCAAAGAATTACCATTTTTGACATTTAATTGTTATTTGACTAATCATTTCAGTCAGACTTGTATCTGCTATTGGATAGTTTAACTTATAACAAAGCATTACATTTCTATGCCTCCATGCTGTAGCCACGTTCATGACTTTTGGTTGTCTGCCCATCTGTACAGATGCCTGGAGGTGACCTCACATCTGTCCCGTTCTTGTGTACGTGATATCTCAGGAACACCTTTTTCAAATTAAATACATCTAATATCTTTTATTACTTTCATCTTCACTGCATACAGTATATTATATGCCTGTAAACTGTAACTTGACTGGTAGGCAGAGGCAGTGCAAGGCAGTAATTCTAGTTCTTCATCTGTCAGGTCTACAAATATCTTATTTTGCAAAGTAACTACTGCTGCCAAATAAAGTGGAGTAAAAAGTATAACATTTGACCAGAAGTACAAAGTGGCATGAAAAGAAGATTCCAGTGAAGTACACCAAACTCATACTTAACAGTACGTGAGTGACAGTACTTAGTAACATTCCACCAGTTGGGTTCACACATTACTTTATCCTCCATATGTCTTCAAATGTACGGCTAACAAAAGTTTCAGCTGCTGGCAATGCTGAGGCACCTCTAGTGTGTTCAGAGATGAAATTTCAGTGAGGTTGAACTTTGAACATGTGCCAGTACTGACTTCATCTGTCTGTTAAGGGGCTCTTTTTTGATACTCAGGCATAGCTCTTAGCTACATAAATATAAATAATAATAAACACAACAGGACTGAGGCACAATGCTCAAGCAACATTTGTCACCTGGTCCATGAAAGGGAGCAGTGTCCTATTTTACCCAGTCTTAAACTGGGTCTTAAACTGGGTAAAATGAGTGAGATGCTGTTTTTGGCACGCTCCATACAGCACTGTTTCTTCTCTTAACCTGGTTTTTTATTTTGCATTGTTTTACAGATTTGTAGTTTTTATAATGTTGCTATATTGGAAAGGTTCCCAGTGAAAAATAAATCTTCAGGCAAAACCTAGTCGATGGTGTTACTCACCCTCTGGCTTGGTGGGCACGTCCACACCAACGCTGAGTTTCCTTGTAAACGAGCCTAGACAAAAACTAAAGCCAAACAAAGTGCCCGTCAGGGAACATTACATTACAGCATTAACACCAGTCAAGGCATTTCAATAACCCAAAACATGGCTGGAATAAAAAGTAACAATAAAAAGCTCATTCTCAACCTAATGTTTGAAGCTTTGCTGTAAAGGGGATTAAAGAGTGATGTCAGTGAAGAGATAAAATGGTGTTTCTGACCAGACAGGCCAAGATGTCGGCAGAAATGAGCATGTAGAAAACGTTGTTCCAGCCGGTGGGAGAGATCAGACCAGCGAGCAGAGGACCCAACGCAGCTCCTGCAGAGAACATGCCAACATCAGTACTGGAGCCTGCCTGTTGACTCTTTTAGTATGTAGCGAAAAAAGGTTCAACCTTTTAAATTACCATATTATAAAGTACTGAAACATTCTTATCTCCAAACATTTAACAAAACATTCCCTTTTAAATTTAAATTTTGGGGGAAATGATCCTCCACAGGTCTAGATCTGAAATATTGGTTGCACTGAATGCAGTTAGGTAAAACAATATTTCTTAGACATTTTAAAGGAAAGTGGCACACAGCGTAACTCCACAGGTGGAGTAAAATATTCTATGTTAAAGCTCCATTTACTGACTTGGTGGTCAGTTGGTGGCAGCAACACAAGCTGTAATCAAAAGCGCTAGCATTGCCATTTAAGGTTTATATGGCAAACCTGTTAGCAAACACTTCCATATTTACACTTTTAAGAGATGAGGAACAACTTTATCATTCATTTGAAGTCATGTTTCTAGACATGTGATCGATGTAATTGCAATGTTTATTCTCCTTCTAGCTATGTTGTAGTCTCTACCAACTCCTGAGGGAAAAATAACTCCTGCTAGTCGCTAACTTTGAAGAAGCTCAGTCACTACAGTCCTGGAACTCCTCGCATACCTACTGAACCAGTCCCATCAATTATTGCTGTCACTGTTGACAATGCCCTGGAGTTTCCTCTCAGACTCTCATGTGTTCCCTGTTGCAACATAGACATCATGTAAGTAGAGGTAAGTCAGTAGGATTATAGAAACTGTGTTTATTTCACAAAAGATTTGTTGCTCAAGTTGGATGGATGAATGTTTAATAACAGATGCTTCATGTCTTACCAGGTCAGCAGATACAGCAGTAGTGATGAGGGCGTATGGTCCGTTCACCAGGCCTAGCCCTGACTTAAACCCAATTGAGCATCTCTGGAGAGACCTGAAAATGGCTGGCCACCAACATTTACCATCCAACCTGACAGAACTGGAGAGGATCTGCAAGGAGGAATGGCAGAGGATCCCCAAATGCAGGTGTGAAAAACTTGTTGCATCATTCCCAAAAAGACTCATGGCTGTATTAGCTCAAAAGGGTGCTTCTACTAAATACTGAGCAAAGGGTCTGAATACTTATGACCATGTGATATTTCAGTTTTTCTTTTTTAATAAAATGTCAAAAATTCGGTGTTTTTCTGTCAATATGGGGTGCTGTGTGTACATTAATGAGGGAAAAAATGAACTTAAATGATTTTAGCATATGGCTGCAATATAACAAAGAGTGAAAAATTTAAGGGGGTCTGAATACTTTCCGTACCCACTGTATATCTATGTTTTATTCTCTACCAACTCCTGAGGGAAAAATAACTCCTGCTAGTCGCTAACTTTGTCTGTGAGTTGTTTGGTGCTGAACAGGGCGTGTACAGCTGGTACAGCTCTTTTTTCTTTTTTGCTGAAAGCTACCACCTGTTTTACCTGGATATGAGGCTGAGAGCTGTTTTTGAGGGTCCTTAACCCAAACCAATGACCTTAAAGAGGATAAAACCCACCAGAGAGCTGAGTTGAACTATAGAGTGTTTGTGTAAATGAGTACTGGAAAACAAAAAAATCAAGCTAACTTTGAAGATGCTCAGTCACTACAGTCCTGGAACTCCTCGCATACCTACTGAACCAGTCCCATCAATTATTGCTGTCACTGTTGACAATGCCCTGGAGTTTCCTCTCAGACTCTCATGTGTTCCCTGTTGCAACAGAGACATCATGTAAGTAGAGGTAAGTCAGTAGGATTATAGAAACTGTGTTTATTTCACAAAAGATTTGTTGCTCATGTTGGATGGATTAATGTTTAATAACAGATGCTTCATGTCTTACCAGGTCAGCAGATACAGCAGTAGTGATGAGGGCGTATGGTCCGTTCACCAGGCCTCCACACAACAGCAGCATAACTACGTATGGGGAAATTAACAGATTAACAAAAGTGTTTTATTCTGTAAGATATTTCTCAAGTTCCAACTCTGAATAAATAGAAAATATTTACAATATGCAGACATAATGCAGCAGTGTGTATTTATGTGAATATATACTGAGAGTACAATAATTCTCTCTCAGTTTTCCAAATTGCACTCTCTTAAACCACATGTCACCTGAGTAAATATTTTCACATTAAAATGAACCATGTAGACTGTTGACAAAATATGTAAATGAGTGTCAAAGATAAAAACAGCACAGCAAAAAAGTCTCACCAATTGTAATAGCAAGGCTCCGTTGTCCAATGTAATTATAGAGGAAAAGCTGGAACATGAACAAAACAGTCAGCAGACACATTTAACTTTATACCTAATAACAGCTACTTACAAACATCTATGACATGTTGGAGTTCGTTATTATTATTTATTATATGAAGTGACACTCACCATGGGAGCAGCAGCAAGCAGCATAACACAGCAGGTTGTAGCTCTCCCTCCGGTGTAGTCAGACACAAGGCCTGCCATAATTCCTCCTGTGCAATACAAAACATGTTCAGTCAAAATATAGCTTCCTGGCAGTACTGTGATAGTGATGTCAGGACATTCAGTCTTGATTTGAAACAGACCTGAGATCAGATATTTTCTCCCTGAGATGATTATGACAAACCATGAGCTGACAAAAAGACTGCTTCAATCAATTTGGGTATTAGCTCACAAGGAACCATGACATCCTCCTGGTAAGTGGCAAAGTCAAAGCTGAAGATCATGTAAGAAGCAACAGAGTATCTGCATATGATATTATACACAGATAAAGTAAACTTTCCCATCAGAAACAAGTTGAAGTGAAGTCACTGACGCTGACCTTTGAACACCACAATCTAAACAGTTCATCCTTGTGTGCAAGTGGACACTTGAGCCAAATTTGAAGACACTCCCTCAAAGTGTTCCTCATATATTGTCTTCACATTAACGAAAACAAGGATGTACAACTCGAAAACATAATGCCTCCAGCCACAGCTATTGCCAGCACAGAGGAATTTATTCCCATTTTATATTTTGTATTTAAGATATTTGCTCCTCCTTCTTCCTCCATCTGAAACAATTTGAAAAGTGAACAAGTGATATGACTGATCTGTCACAGCTTACCCAGGATTCCTCCTACATCAAACAGTGTCGACATGTCTCCTGCCGCTTCTCAAAATGTGCTGAAAATGAAAAAGCCAGCCCATATTAACATTAAAAAATAACTTTATATGGTGTAGATACAACTATATAACATGTAAGATATCATCCTAATTGGGTAAAAACAATGCATGTGTGTAAATACTGACCAACATCTGAAATGTAAAGAGGAAGCCAGTACAAAAAGGTGTAGCTGACCAGCTTGGCAAAGAACAGACAGAAAGAGAACTCCATCACTCCCTGTGTGAGACACAAAGCACTCTGAAAACCTTTCATCACCTTGGATTGTTTTTCTTTACTACACCTTGAACCGCCACCTTATTGTGGTGGACGGGTTTGAGTACCCGAGTGATCCTAGGACCTATGTTGTCGGGGGCTATATGTCCCTGGTAGGGTCTCCCAAGGCAAACAGGTCCTGGGTGACGGGTCAGACTAAGAGCGGATCAAAAGCCCTTTATGAATAGATTAAAATCAAGGACCGTGATGTTGCCCGGCATGGCGCAGCCGGGGCCCCACCCTGGAGCCAGGCCCGGGGTTGGGGCTCAAATGCGAGCGCCTGGTG